CTTCCTTCCAAGGAGTGGCTGGTGGGTTTGAACTGCCAGCCTTCTGGTTAGCAGTCAAATGCCTTAGGCACTATGCCACCAGAGCTCCTTTTCTGACCAAAGTGCATGAAAATTAGAAACAAATATGAGTTGGCTTTAAAATTTGGGTTAAAAAATAAAAACAAAAGTAAACAGTGCCAAACCAAAACCTCTTGTATATAATTCAAGACCTTAAGTAAAATCACACTGGAAATTTAAAAATATTTGCAACTGAATGGACAATAAAAGTACCATAAATCAAAACTGGTAGAATACAGACAAAGCAGTGCTTACAGGGAAATTCACAGCTTTAAATGTACTATGTTAGTAAATATGAAAGATTAAAACTTAAGGAGCTAAGAAGCCAGGAAAAATATGATTACTTAAATACAAATAAAGTAGAAGGAAGGAAATATCAAAATTAAACACAGAAATGAATAAGATAGAAAACAATGAAATGAGAAATAATTAACAAAATAAAAAACTGGTTCTTTGAGTAGCCTAGCAACTGGAAAGACTGATGAAGAAAAAAAGAGAAAGGCCCCAATCAGCAATATTAAGATTAAAAAGAGGATAAAGGCACAGATAAAATAAAGGTTTAAATTTCTGCTCTCAGAATGTCAAGGAGCTTCAGAAGTGGCTTAGTTGAATCCTCCCATGATCACTACCTCCTAAGCAGCCTATTTTGTTGTGAGCCATGCTGACCTCACACAAAGTTGCATTCCCCTCTGGGCTCCAATAGGCCCTCATCTCTCATGTTGTCAATGATACCGACATCCACAGGCTTCCATAGGGCATACCCATAACCACATCCACATATCACACATGCACACAACAAGACACCAAAACTCCCTACATAAGTGAATGTTAACATGCAGACACAAATATTGTGCAAATACACTTTGCATTTGTGCATGCATGTACATGCTCACACACATGCATACGCACATGCTCCCAATGCACTCAGTGATGTCAAACATGTTCACATGTTCACACACCTTGATGTGTTACCATAATACCCTCAATCATACTTGTACATATGACCATGCGTAGTCGACACATGTGTGAAGACACATTTACACAGGTGAGTGCACACCTAACAGATGTCACATGTGTTCATGCCCTCATCAACTTGCTTGCTGAGCAAACACACCCTAGTGCCCACACAAATGTGTCCCACTCAAGCCTGCAGGGTAGGTGGCCATACCTCCAGTTCCCTCAGCAGCTCTGACTGACCACATGACTCCAGGTCTTCAAGAGCTTCCCCAAACATGTGCCAGAAGCCCTCCTCACCAGCAGGGCCAGGAACTGGGCTGTAACGTAGGAATCAGAGAGGGTCAACTCCTGGCAGGTGGGCAGCAGGCAGGTGGACTGAGGCCTGAGGACTCTTCGGGGCACTAGGGCCCGGCGTTGGGCTTCAGGGCCATAGGGTAGGCAGGCGGGCAGGCGGGCAAACAGGCAGGTGAACGTCCTCGGTGGCAGTGCTGGGGCCCAGGGCAGTGGTTGGTGACACGAAATGGGGGGAAGACGCAGTTAGGGGCGACCAGGACTGTCGGTGGCCAGTTAGAACAGGGGCAGATGAGACTGGGTGGAGAGCGGTGACACAGGACGCCTGGGAAGAGAGACGGACGGACAGACAACAGACAGACAGAGAGGAGATCCACAGTGTAACCCCAGAGGACAGCCCCTGGCCCCCTGAGACACATGGCATTGTGGGACAGTGACAGGAATAGAGTTGGAGCCAGCAAGGCCACAGATGGAATGGAAAGGATGGAATAATTGTGCTGTGGGGGGATTGAGACCACCCCACAACTTCTGTCACGTGGTATGGTGGTATGGTGACAATTCACATTTTCACATTTGAATCTGCCATTTACAAGCTTCTTGACATTTATAAAACATACTATGGTTGGCAGAATATATTCTCCTTTACAAAAGCTTCACTCTCTTATGGGAGCCTCTCAGAGAATAAAGTGAACTCGTTGCCTCCTTCCTTTCCCATTTTACAGAAGAGAAAACTGAAGCTGAAGGGCATTCACTCTATTCAAGTCAATTCTATTGGGCACAGGGATTGGTGGTAGATGAGGCATGCCCCTGTTCTTAGATGTTGGTGATTCATTCACAGAGTAAAAGAGGCACCCACTAGGTATCAGACACTGAGCTGGGGTATCACACAGAAGAGATGATATCCAGGTACAACACAAGGTGAATGATGCCACTAGGAGGCTCACAAGAGCATCTGTGGGTACCAGAGGAGGGAAGGAAGAATTCCTTTTGCCTGAGAAAGTTGGAGAAGCTCACAGACTTGAGCAGAGCCATCTCAGGGGAATTAGAGGTGGATTTTGAGGGATAAGTATGAATTTGCCAGGACAGAAGAGGGAAGGCCATTCTAGGCAGAAGGCAAGTACAGTGATGGGACAGGTTGGCCATTGCCCAATAGGGCCTGCTCTATGTGAGCTTTCCCCTCCAGCGATGAGGCTGTCATTCGATGTCGATACTAAGAAAACAACTGCACCCCCAACCCAAGGCTTTTGAGGTAGAAGCCCTTGCAAGGCCATCAAACAATCTGCTAAGTGAGGTGGGTCTGAGTTCATGCTCTGAGTCCATTGCTGCTCTTCTGAGAACAGGAGACTTTGAGACTTGGGAAGGCCAAACCACCTCTACACCTCAACCCACTGTGCTCCCAACAGTCTGCACTCTCCCCAAATTGGCTTAGCATAGATGGCTCTGCTCAGTGCTTCCTCTTCCAGAAGGTCCCCTGCTCAGGGGCCAGGCAAGATTCTTCCGTATCACACCTCCCACCCAACCTAGCCAAGAGACCACGACTGCCTCTTCCCTCATGGTCTTCCCACCACAGACCTAGTTGGTGGCTCCCAATCCTCCTCCTCCTCCTCCTCTTCTTCAGGGAAGCTCTTGTCTGCAGAGGCAGGGGTATAGCTCCTCCTCCGGGGTTCCGTGGGTGGGGGGCTGCTCCTCAGGTGGCCAGGCCACCACTCCTGGGGGGCTACACCCTGGGCTGCTGCCTGGGGGGTATAGGAACCTGATAGGTGGAGAGAGGGGAGCATCTGTGTTCTCTCTATTGCCTTCACCTTGCCCTCTTCCCTGCCCCTTTCCCAGTCTTCCTGGGTGGCACTGGAGATGTCTTTGCTCTACTCTGGGCTTGCATGGCTACATAGACCTTCCAGAGGCCTTGCCACCCCAGTCCCATGCCCAGAATCCCCAGGGTCCCTCTCATTCAGTACATAGATTTAATGCCCAGCTTTGGGACCCTGCCCCAGCTCCACTGAGCTAGGCCAGGCTGACCCTCTGCCAGAGAGGGACACTCAATGCTTTCACCACTACCCTACCTTTGGGAGCTTGAAGCTCCTGCCCTAAGGGATAAGCTGGAAGACCCCCACCAAGAGTGCAAGAGCCAAGATCCAGAGCAGGTAAGGGCCAGTGAGTGGGAGCAGGGCTGAGAGGCTGAGGCAACCTGAGGCCTCCCTCCAGCTAATCCCCCAACTGAGAGTCCCTGCTGCCTGGGTCACAGAGGCCAGACCAGCCACTGAACTCAGACACTCCCCTGAGGCCACCTGCGGGTCTCAATATTCATGGAGGGAGCTTGTGTCCTGAGGGGGCACTGCAGGGGGTCTTATCTGAGCTGGATTTTATAGGGTGGGCCTCATAAGGTGAGATGTTGTTGTTGTTGTTGTTGTTATGTGCCATCGAGTCGGACCGACTCCGAGCGACCCCTCCTTGGGTTTCCGAGGCAGTATCACTACAGAAGTAGATTGCCCCATCTTCCTTCCAAGGAGTGGCTGGTGGGTTTGAACCGCCAGCCTTCTGGTTAGCAGTCAAGTGCCTTAGGCACTGTGCTACCAGAGCTCCTCACATGGTGGGAAGGGGCTCTCTATCTCCCAATCTTCAACTGTATGCAACAGACATGATTGAGCATACACTGTGTGCCAAGCACTGGGTGAGGCATGAGGGGCAGAGTATAAATAAAGCTGTTTGGGCCCCTCACCTCATGGTGAGGAAATTTGAACAGGTAGTTATCGAACTGTGGTCAAGGGGCCCAGAGAATGGCTCATTTGTCCCTAAAGAATGGAGATAGCTAGGAAAGGAGTGGCTAGAGGGAGGAGAGCATAGTGTTTGTCCAAGGACTCTGAGGCATTACCTAGGCCCCCAAAGCCGCCTTCCATGGCTGAGCTGTCCCAGGACTCTACAGCGCTGTCCACACTGGGCACGGCAGGTGAGAACCCGGCTGTCAGGAGGCCGCCTTTGAGAGCTTCGGGCAGGTCCTCATCCACATCACTGGCCTCACTGAGGCTGCCTGACTTGCGGGGTGGAAGGGGGCCTGGGGAAAAAGGGGCATATCACTGCCACTGGCCTCTGACCTCAAGGGACAATGGGAAACACAGAGACTCAATGAGCCTCAGTTTCCCCACTCAGTCTGGTTTGGGAATGCACAGACACTGAGTCCCTACTGAGCCTGCTGCTCACATGTATTCCCTCATTTAATCACCCAGGTGTTACGCTAGTAAGAGCTCTGTGAATGGATGGGAAAATTAAGGCTCAGAGAGGCTAAACTGCATGCCCAGGTCACTTGGTGAGCAACAGTGGAGCCCAGATTAGAAGTCAGGCTCCTTCCACTGCTAATGGTGGCCTCCCTACCAAGGTTTTAGGGACATATTTGGGAAAACTGAGGAATGCACGGGTTAGGACCATAAAGCACAAGCAGATATATTAACAGGCAGGATTGATGAAGAGCATGCGTATGGAGTCCTGGGTTCAAGCCCTGCCTCTATCCCACAACAGCTGTGTGACCTTGGGGCCATCATGCCCCTCTCTGAGCCCTTGTTTCTTCAGCTCTAGCAGGTAGTCTTCCACCTGCAAGGGGCTGTGTCTTTGAGAAGCTGCACATGCAAAGCCAAGCACAGAAGCAGGCTTCCCTTTCCTAAATGGGCCGGTCCTAGGTGGTCCCTAGGGCATAGGGTGAGGCTTACGGTCCAGCTGCTTCTTGATCTTCAGTGTGACGGTCTCACCAGCCACCTGTAGGAGGTGGATGGCCTCACTCAGTGGCCGGCCCTTCAAGCTAACACTGTTGATGGCCAGGATGCGGTCCCCAACGTGAATGGCACCAGTCCTGAGGAGGGGGCACAAGGCAGGAGATGGGGATTAGACACCCAGGACATTAGAGGGGGCTCTCCCATGGGGAACCTGAAGAAGCCCCAAGTCTTGAGCCTGAATGACTCTAGTGAAACACAGTGTGATCTTGGGTTGCATTAACAGAGGTATGCAGATGGGAATATTTATTTCATCAAATTATAATTGAGGAATTGGTAAAAAAAAGGATGCATATTTCATTACCAGCAGAAAGTCTTAGGTAGCCTTTCCCTCTTTCTGAGCCTCAGTTTCCCCACCTAGAGAATGGGCAATACTATCCATCAGACCCAGCTGGCTTCACAGGGTGGTGTGAGGGGCTGATAAACCAAGTGGTAGCATTGCTCTGGTCCAGCAATTCTCTCACTGGATGCCCATTAGAATTACCTGGAGACCCTCCACTCCACACAATGAAAGAAGATCTGGGGGTGGGGCTAAGAAAGGTGGTTCTAAGGAGCAGCCAGGGTTGAGAGTGGGAAAAGCAGTTTCAGCAGGTGCCGAGAACACACCTGGGTGGGACAGAAAGAGGCAGAGAACAGGGGTCATGGATCTTGAACCCCTAATGTGGATGTGGCCCTCAGGTGGTGACTTCCTGGAGGGTTAATCCCAGGTGTACCCTTGGGGCCAGCATTGCCCAGAATGCTCCCTGAGGACATCAGGCAGTGAGTGAGTCAGGAATGACACATACAGAGAAGGGAGTCCCCCAAGCTGTGCTGTTGAGCACTGAAATGTGGCAGGTCTAAAATGAAATGGGGTTGAGGATAAAATGCACACTGGAATCTGAAGACTTAGTGTGCAAAGTATCTTAATATTTTCCTATTAGTTACTTGTTGATTAAATTAAGTATATATTTAAGATTAATTTTGTTTCTTTTTACTTTTTACTGTGGCTATCAGAAAAATGATAATTAAAATTGTGGCTTGTGTTATATATCTGTTGGGCAGCACTGAGCTGGATTAGACTCAGGAGGGTAGGGAGGTTGTATGTTGCACTGCACACAGCAGGTACCCAGCAAATGCTCCAGCTGACAAGGGTATTAGGTCAGAATGCCCTACATCAGTCCCTGCAGTTTTCCGGGTGTCCAGCAGAGGGCACGCCAGGAGCGGAGACACCAACAGGGCTACATCCTACCGCCTGAGCCCCAGAATCTCACCCTTCTTGCCTGTTCCACTGTCTGCTCCTCCCTGCTCCTCTAGCACTAGCCAGGCTCCCCTTACCCCATCCCTGACAGCCAGCTCCTCCCAGTGCCCCTCCCAGTGTCAGGGAGTTCATTGCTTCCTTGCCTGCTCTGTCTCCTGGCACAGTTGGGATGGCTACCTTGTGACCCCCATGGGGCCCGTTCCACTCCTGGGCCACCAGACCCAGCTGCTCCCCCACCTAGGACAGCCTGAGACAGGCCCTGGGACACCCCGCTTCTCACAGCTCCCTGGCTGTCACAGTTTCACACACATTTCTTAAAGGAAGGGCCTTGGAGGACAGCCACCGATGCCTCAGGAAAAGCTCTTCCTATACTATGAAGACAACACAGTGGCCCAAAAAAGGCTTACAGTGCTGACTTTTGAGAAACTGTGGAAACGACAGGCTGGGAGGAAGGTTAACACACTTTTATCCAATACTTATCTGGGAATAGGAGGTTTGCAGGGGCCAGCGTATCTCTGCCCTGGGATACAGGGGGCTAACATATTCACCTCACAGATGAGGAAACAGAGGTGCAGAGAGGGGAAGTGACTGGCCCAATAACACTCAGAACAAAGGTCAGAATCTAATCTGGCTGTTCCCCAAGCCTAGCTCCTACATCATGGGGGCCCTTGGGTCCACCCCCGCGCCCCCATGGAGCCCAGACCCACCTCTCAGCCAGACCACGCTTGGTGAGGCCTGAGATAATGATGGGATCAAAAGGTTCCTCTGTGCCCGAGATGGTGATGCCTAGGGGGCCACCGTAGCGTTTTAGCTCCACTGTGTAGCTGATGGCTCCTGTGGTCTCCTGTTCATCTACAGGATGGGCACCCATCAAGTGGGGTGGTGAGGGTCAAGGATGGGAGGACAGGGCTCCCACTTCCCCCGCAGCCTGGGCATTCTTGCTTAGTCACACATACACACCCATTCACTCATTCACTCCCTCATTAAGTAATCCATTCACTCACGCTGTAACTTCAGACCATTCAACTAGAGGACTCAAGCCATCTTCTGTATCCAGAAGTATTTTCTTCAGCCCAAACACCATCAACATGAAAGAATGAAGGAAGGGAAGGGATAGAAAAAGGCTGGGCACAACATATAAAACTACAGGTTTCATACACCACACAAAATAATGATATGATAATGGTGGAAAACCAGACATCTAACTTCTCTTTAAAAAATAAGAAATCTGCCCAGTAGCAACCCTTTTTCACAAGACTGGAGATGGCAGCTGCCTTTTTGGATAGGGGATTCACCTTCCAGTTGCCACAGTCCTCACCCCTCCCTTTTGACTCCCCAACCTGTAGAATTTTTCTGATCTTTTATCCAGTTTGCTCATTTATGGCATTTGTCTAGCCTCAGAGGTGTCTGGGTTTGCAGCCTTTGTTTATTCTTCACACATACACCCATTCAGTCATGCATTCTCTCATTCACTCACAGCCCCACCTACCCATCTGTTCACTTTAGGGGTCTCTTCTGCCAGGCTTTGTGCTAGGCATGGAGGATACAGGTAGGGTATCAAACTCCCAGCCCCCACAAAAAGGCCCTAGTAGGTCCCAGGCTATGTTGCTGCCTCTCCTCCATTTGTTCATTCAAGGGGACTCCATAAGCCAGTCCACCCACCAGTCTCCCTTCCTTATCCAGAGAGAGCCCTAGATTGCAGGCTGGGCCCTTGTAGGACTGGAGGGCAGGGCAGGGTGGTGGGGCCATACCAGAGTTGTCTTCATCCTTCCGGACCTTCAGCTTCACCAGGTCCTCACACTGCTGCAAGATCTGCACAGCATCTTCCATGGGGCAGTTGTCCAGGCGGATGTTGTCAATGGCCAGCAGCTTGTCGCCTGGCTCAAGGGTGCCAGTCCTGCACAGGTGGGGTGAGGGTGGGAAGGAGCCTGGCACATGCAGGGGCTGTAACCACCCCTACTGCCACTGTCTACGCCCCATGCCCGCACAGCCCTACCTGTGTGCCACACTGCCTTTCTTAATGTCAGAGATGATCAAGGGCTCCCCTCGCTTCCTGCTGGCCGCTGGAGGGAAAGGGAGTATAAATTCCAGCTTTGACTGGCTCAGTCTTGGGGGTGGCTGGCCCAGGAGTGGGGTACATGGACTCTGAGCCCCACAGCCTGCTCACATCCTAGTCTCATTGCTTACTGGCTGGGTGATCGAGAGTAAATTAGCTCACTTTTCTGTGCCTCAGTTTCCCATCTTTAAAAATGGGGATGGTGCCATGGACCACATGTGGATGTTGTGAGATGAAACTAGATACTGCAGGCACAAAACCTAGCGTGATTCCTAGTTCATAGTAAGTGCTCAATAAACAGCACCTCTTTTTCCCTCCTCCTGAGCCTATCCCCCAGCAAACTGCAAGCCCCTTGAGAGGCTGTGTCTTTCTCATGTTTCCCTCGCCCCCAGAACCTACTCTGTTCCCCTGCTGTGAATTAAGTGCCTACTTGTGGGCACCAGAAACACAGTGTCTATCTGAAAACCAAAACATTTTGAACTAAGGTTACTTCAGGCACACCCTCCCCCAGTAGATCTATAAGGTCAGGCACCCCTATTGTGCAGAGTTGGGAACCAAGGCTTCTGAAATTCAGGTCTTGATTGAGTACACACAGGCAGGTGATGATGCAAAATAGACCAGGATCGAAGCTAGCCAGGCCCTCCCACCCAGCCACCTTGTGGCCTATCCCAGAAATGCTGGTTTAAGCAGAAGTCACCATTCACAGTGTGGCAAGTTCTTTCTCCTGGCAGGTAAGCTCTGAGGGGCAGGTGGGGAGGGCTGTGCAGGTGAGGGGACTCACAGCTGATGGTGATGCCCAGCTCCACACCACGCCTCTTGGGCAGCTTCACATGGAAGGTGCCGCTGCTGGGGATGACAGACTCTGGGTACAAACAGACATGGATGACATGAGAGCCACAGGAGGGGCCTCAGGGGTCCTGGCCCCAGGCCCATAGGCCCCACTGGGAAGGACCCCAAATAATCGCTATCTCAATCCCTGGCAGATGAGAAAACTGAGGCACAGTGTTAGATTTGCCCAAAACAACCACCTCAGCCCGTCAGGGCATAGTGGAGGCTAGAACCCAGACCTCACACTCCCTGCTGGGGTCCCCATAGCCAAACTCAGTCCAGTTCTACTCAGCAAGGAAGAACTGAGCACTACTGTGCACCAGGCCTTGTCAGGCTATTTTCACATGACTTATCTAACCCTAACCATGCCCCTGTAGTGGAAAGATTCTGTTTTACATATAGAAAGGGAAATATCATGCCCAAAGTCACAGAATGTCCACATCACAGCAGAATTCTAACACGAGTTGTTTTGGGTTCTTTTACTAAGCCATGAAGATCAGGAGCTTGGAGTATTTTCAGCACTTCTCACCCCATCAGGCCCTGCCCCACTACAAAAATCCCTCACGAGCCCAGCACTAGTGTGAGGAATATCTTCCTCTCCAGCCAATGCCTTTCTTTCCATTGGTGCTTAGTCATAAACTGCAAGGGTTCCTGAGGACACAGGGAGCAGGGAGAGACAAGGAATGGGATGAGGTGGAGGAACATTTGCACAAGGCAGGAGCAGGACACAGAGGGGCGGGAGCGCAGGGGTTCCAAAGTGGGATGGGGCTGTTAGGGTCACTCACTCACCAGCCACATCAAACTCAATCTCTAGCACAACCTTGTGGGCCAAAGCAGCATCCCGCAGCAGCTGATTGGCTTCCTCCATCGTCCCATCCTCGGTGGCAATGCCATTGATGGAGAGGACACGGTCCCCCACCTGCAGCAGCCCACACCTGAACCAGGGGCAGCCCGACAAAGAGGCCAGCATTAAAACTCCATGGGAGAGAGGTCTCCATGCAGGACAGGGCCAGGACCTCGAGCCCACACTGCCTGGCTGGGCCTTTCCCGCCTCAGCTGGATTTGCCTCTCAGCTCTCCCCTGGGCCAGCTATGTATCCTCCAGCAACTTGGCAAATGGCCCTGGCTAAGGTCTTGACTTTGCTGGGCCTTCGTTTTTCATCTATCAAATGGGCATAATGCCATGGACTTTATAAGGTACGTACATGGAGTGATTAAGCCCATGGACTCTGTCAAACAGACGGGTTTAAGTCTTGGGGATTCCACTCACGAGCTGTGTGACCCTGAGAAAGTGAGTCAGCCTCTCTGAATCTCAGTTTCCTCATCTATGAAATGGGGCTTGTGATGACTGATGTGATGACTAAGTACAATATGGTTGTCAAGGCTGGGGCGTGGTATTGTGACTCAGTTTTCCTGGATATCTGTGAGCCCCCAATTTTGGAGATTGACAGGCGTGGGGCAGCAGGCTCACCTCTCAGCAGGGCTGTCAGGCTCGATGAAGCGCACAAGGGGTGGGGAGGACAGGGTCTCAGTGGCAAAGATGCCACCCTGGAGCTGGAGGCCGAAGCCGCTGAAGGGATCTCCGCAGAGTACAACCTCGGTGGTCTCTGTGTGCACAATCTGCCCGCCTGGTCCCACCGTGCTGGAGGCCAGTGACACTGCAGGGCAGGTGAGCACAGGCATTCAGGTGGGCCACTTCATGGGGTCTTCCTGTCTACCCATCCCCACCCGAGACTTGCAGTCAAAGGGGCAAGTAAGTGGAAGTCCTGGCTCATCTGTTTTGAGCCTTGGTTTCCTCATCTGTACAATAGGATCATAGTGCTCACCTGGCAGGGGTATGGTAGAGATTAGGGAAGACAGTGCATGGGACTGTCCTGTTGTAAGAAAAGAGACTCTGAGGACCCATATTATTATGCTATGTTATGTCCTACTGTGTTATGTTAGTATATACTATAAAAAACCCATTGATTCTGACTCATGGTGACCCCTTGCACTACAGATGAGAACTACTATATTATTGGATTTTTGGTCATAATCTTTTTTTAGTTGTAATCTTTACAGAAGTAAATCACCAGGCCTTTTTTATATAGCACCACTGAGTGGGTTTGAACCACCAACTTTAGGTTAGTAAAACCAAAAAACCAAACCCACTGACATGGAGTCTATTCTACTCATAGTGACCTTATAGGACAGAGTAGAACTGCCCCCAAAGCATTTCCAAGGCTGCAATCTTTACAAAAGCAGATTGACAAATCTTTCTCTCACGCAGTGTCTGGTGGGTCTGCATTGCAGACCTTTAGGTTAGCAGCCTAGAGCTTTAACCACTATACCACCAGCGTTCCTTTTTAGTAGTTAAATGCAAATTATTTGCACCACCCAAGGGCCTTAGTAAAAACTATACCATATATTATGCTATGTTATGTCAAGGAGCCCTGATGGTATAGTGGTTAAGCACTTGGCTGCTAGCCAAAATGTTGGCAGTTTGAACCCATGGGAGAAAGATGAAGCAGTCTGCTTCCATAAAGATTACAGCCTTGGAAACCCTACAAGGCAGTTCTACTCTGTCCTATAGAGTCACTATGAATCAGAATTGACTTGACCACAACAGGTTTATATACATACAAACATATATATATATATATATATATATATATATATA